AAGAGACGGATGCAGGGATTTGGGGGAAACTGTACCTCAAGCTGCGGACAAGCAAAACTTGTGACATGGGTGACACTGTGTGTGTTAAGGTGCAGCAGGGTGAAAGCTGCAGGCTTGGTAGTCCCTGCTGCAGCCACAAAGCCTGTCAGCTTTCAAGGAGATAGGTGCAGGGGGAGTCTGGGTTTTGGGGCCCTGCACCTCTAGCTGCTGACAGGCAAAACTCATGTCATGGGTACTTGGACAACTGACTGTCTCTGTCTTGAGACAAAAGCAGTTCCCAGCTCTGTATTGATTCTTTCCTCTCTTTAGTCTGTGGTTTCCTTGCTCATTAACTCATTATCCTCACTAGCTACTGTATTACACAATCAATCATGATTCACTCAGGGACCAGCTCAATACACAGTAGCTAGCTAGGATAACAAGTTGAAAGAGTGCTGAAACAAAACCGGCAGTGAAATTTTGCACAGCCCTATTAGAAAACTGAAAGTAGGTTTAGCAGGTTTTGAAATGGCCAGGGGATTACTTTGCATTTATTCTTAGGAGTTGTTCTTTATTATGTTGGCTAACTGCTAAGGACTCTGTACTGACATTACAGTATATTTCAGTGCTCAGTGCACATTATTTACTCTAAAGCTTCAATACTTGTTAAGTGGAGAATTAGTAGAACTGAGTGATTTATTCAAAATACAGTTCTTATTTGGCAGATTTAGTTCTTTTTCCCATTTGCAAATGAACCACAAAGCATTCCCCCCTTTCTTTTTTCATGCATAGAACCATAGCCTATGGTTGTCTATGATCTTGGTTCAATGGAAATCAATGCTGATGTTTTTAAATCTGCACTGAGGTATCTAAATAAGTGGCCCTGTTTTCAAATGCAATGAGCCCCTAAAATCAGGCCAGTTTTCTAAGCACAGATTTAAATATGGATGTAGGAGCTGAACTTTAGGAAATTATTTTTAAAATTTCAGTATGTGATTCTTGGTTAAGAAAAAATTTACTGAAGTCACATTGTTTTAGTAGATGACTGTTCATTACTTCATTTGGTATTGTTTTCTTACATTCGGTGAAATAATTGAAATTCTGTAAACAGGAAAAACAAATCTCAACTAGCAAATATCAAATGACCAATAATAAATATCTTTACTTGTACCTAAATAAAAGTATTAAGACAAATAGCAGCATCTCTATAACAAAAAACAAATTGTGTTAAAATATTAATGGAAGAAAAAAAGATTTTGATTATGGCAATATTGGATTGTAAGTCAGATTTTCAGAAATGTATCTGTGGGTATTTTACTTTATCATTGGCAGTAGAGCCATTTCAACCATCTGTTCCTGAAGCATTTGGAAATAATGGGACTACTGCATTTTTCAGATGAAAAGCTCATTATTTATTATAACCCTTCATTTTCTGTATTTCAGTTCCCCAACTTAGAACATTATAGGAAGCAGCATTCATTATACTGCTGTAGGTATAGAGATGAAATATGCTCTAGGGCAGTGATCTCCAAACTTTTTTGATTGCGCACCTCTATCAGTAAAAAATTTTTGAGCACGCACCCCCAATATATGTATATTTATATAAATAGAAATAGAAGTTCTAATATTTTCTTCCCGCACCCCAATGGATTGTCTTGCACACCCCCTGGGGTGCGTGCACCCCACTTTGGAGACAACTGGCCTAATGCATGGGTTTGGTTTATAAACAACTTTCAGAGAGTTACAGCCCTTTCCTTTTCTTTAGGGCCAGAAATTCATGGCATCTGGATCTTGAAATATTTTTCTTTTACTACAAGGAGTAGTGGTACAGGAAAGGTTGAGACAAGCACTAGTAAAAAATTCTGGAAGAAATATTTTTCCATCAACAAAAAAAATCTTTGCAATCATGGGAAAATTTTTGAGACAATGTTTCTTTTTCATTTAAAATATTTTACATTCTTCAATTGCCAAAAATACACATACACGCACAAACTTGGTTTTTAATTGAAAACCTAAACTACAAATAAAATTAATATTTTATTAATATTCTCATTTTAGACATTTTTTTCCTAAGTAAATGTATTAATTCTTAGTCAGCTATGGTTGAGAACCACTGGTGTAGTGATTAAAGTACAGCAATAGGTATCTGAGTTGTTTCTGGTTCTGCCTCTGACCTGTGACCTTCAACCTGTTAAAGACAACATTTTCCAAAAAAGCCCATTGGGTTTCATTGTTTTGGGGCACCCAATTTAAGAAACCTTGGTCACTGACAACTGGAAACCCAAAAATAGAAATTCCTGAAGGCAGCAACTACCTTAAACATGCTTGATTCCCTTTTATGCTTCCCTTTCACAAAATGAGGGTACTAATAGAGAGCAGTAAATTTTTGAGGCATCATAGTTTGGGATAAAAGCAGGAGTAAAGAAACGGGAGCAACAGGCTGACTTTACAGATCTACCACATTGATGGACAGGTTTTACATTGGTGGGACTACATTGAACTCAGTATGGTGAATCATGTCTAAAGTTTTTACTGTTTATAGCTAAACTTTACCCAGAAGCTAATAAATTAAATACACAGGCTGTATGTGAAATGTTTTCTCCTTTTCATATTATGATGCAGATAACCAACTATTTGAACTGGGTTGTGAGAAATTTGGCTGATTTAGAGGTGCAAATGGGTGCAGTGAAGAAAGTGAACAGCTTCCTGAACATGGAGTCTGAGAACTACGATGGCACCTTGGGTATCGTATTTTATTCTTTTTTATCTTCTGCTGGTACCAGAATGACAAAAAAATCCCATTTTTTCCTATGGGCATGTTGAACCAAAGGTCCTCATTTACATGGGTGCTCTCCGATTGACCTCAGTGGGGCTCCAGAGGCATAACTTCTAGCAGAGTTTGGGTCTCTGTTTAAGGTGGACCCATACTAGCCAACAGTAAAAAATTGCAGTGTCACAGGTATGACAGGTTGGTCACAAGAGTGTTCCAGTTCCAAATAGGTTCTCAGCACAGCTGCTGGACAAGACAGTAAATGGAACCAACCTGACAAAATCTTCATGACAATATCGCAAGGGCGGGCAATTCTTTCGAGCAGAGGGCCACTTACTGAGTTTTGGCAAGCCTTTGAGGGCCGCATGACAGGCAGCCCAGGGCAGATAATTAATTTTCTAAATTTTTTAGGGACCCCGCGAGCCAGATAGAATGGCCTGGTGGGCTGCATCCAGCTCCCAGGCCACATTTTGCCCACCCCTGCATATCTCAATGCAGCACCTGGTCAAGTATCCAGGCAGACTACTATAATATTCACTAGACACATATGCCCAGCTTTATTTTGATCTCACACTATGCTGTACACTAGTATAATATCATAAATAGACATGGAAATACTCCTTCTTGGGTCTGTGAGATCTGTGTGTGACGCATGCTTCTTAAGGGAAAGAGCTGTGATGGCAAATTAAGGGAAGTGGGAAAAAATCATATTTTCCATTCAAGATGCTTTTTAAAAGAAGCCCCCTTCAGGACTCCTTGGCAATTGCCAGAAGCTTCAGTGAAACATGTCTTCCTCACTAAAGTTGTTCTTCCCCTGCTACAGGCCCAAAATACAGAATTACACAGTAGTCTGTACCCATTAAGGTGCTGCCTGCTTAAGGGGCTAAAAAAAACACAAGCTGTTTGCTTGCTCTGACAGCTATGAATGCATACTGTGTTCTTTTTCTAAGTAAGGCAGTGCCCCAAATGTCCACTAACTCAGAACAGTCACCTCCTTACAGATACTGCGATACCCACCCCAAATAGGGGAAAATAGGGAAAACGCTCTAACTGGCACATATTTTGGAATCTCTAGACTTTGGCACATGGGCTACAGGACAGAAATGTTTGAAGGAATAAGACCTCAGCAACACCTTCAGTGTACATTGTCAAAAAGAGAGTTTAGTTTTGGGTTGTTTTTAGTTTTGAGGGAAGAAATTATGAAAACAGTAAAATGGGCAGTGTAATATTGAACTCAGAGGTGGAAGTAGCTGTTTGTTGGGATTTTCCAAGAAACTTCCAAGTGGTAGTCATCCAAAGCCCATTGAAGGCCAATCGGAGTTTGACACTTAACTTCTTTGGGCTCCTTTAGAAACTCCAGCCTCATGGGGCTTAACTGCATGTTCATAAACCTGACTGAAAAATGATCTAAAGTAAAGTCAAGACCTCAAGTTGCAAAGCAGGAACAACATACCTTTTTGTATTGCTTTTTCTGTGTCAGTGCCAAATCCTTTCCTGTTTCCTTCTCCTCTTCCCTAATCAATGCTAAAAAACACTTTAATATTTACCTTCTCATCAGGTGCATCAAATGTGCAATTAACGTGAAGCAATAAACTCTGGAGCAATTTGAGCCAGAGTAAACTACTCTTAGGCACAGCATATACATATGCACCCAGGACAGCAGCAATTTGTACTGGGGTGGAGCAAGCCCAGGCTAGCAGCAAGTCCAGGATGGGAGGGTAGCCCCGGGGTCCAGGTGGTGGTGAAGGGCAGGAGAGGGGCTCGCTACTAGAGGAGCCACATGGCTAGGTTGCAGGCAGGAGTTTAGTCCTCGGCTGGCTGGTTTGACTGAGCACAATTTATACGTGTAGCCAGTGTCTCCATATGCGTTTAATCACAGTTAATTACCCCAGCATAAGATAGTATTGTCCCCAACAGTACTCTCTTACTGCTGCATTAATTAGTTTACTGCAGCCTAATGCCATTGCATATATAGACAGTGACGTTTTACTCTACAGCTAATCGGGCTACTCCGTACTTAAGCATATTTGTAGATGTGGCCATCCTGTGTGTCAGGATCTGGATGTTCAGTGCTAATGTCCCTGCTAGTACTCAGCTGCATGAGGAAACAGTGCTAGCACAAGGTGCATTCTTACCTAATGCCATATTCCTTCGTCCCATTTGCAACAGGCTTGTTATTGTTATTTCAGATAGATGCATAGTAAAGGACAGAATAAAAGCATTTGCCTTTATTTACTGTCACTATTTCAGATGCTTCTCAAATCCCAAAAGACTGGCCCCAAGAGGGGGAAATCAAGATTGAAGATTTGTGTGTCCGATATGAAAACAACCTGAAGCCTGTTCTCAAGCATGTCAAGGCTTACATCAAACCAGGACAGAAGGTATAGTGGATGATATCATCTTCACTTGATTATGCATTGATGGCAGCTTTTGCTTTCTGTGGACAACACGTTAGCAATAACAGCTGTATTAATATTTGAATGTACACACAAGTCCAACATTTTTTCAGTATCTAAATATTGAGTTTGGCCTGCCCAAGGGTCAGGGATCTGTCTTCACTTTTGCCACAGGCAACTCATGTGGCTGATATTTTTGAGAAAAGGTGTGTGTTATGAGTGCGAAAATACAGTTTTGCTTAAATTTTGCTGATGGAAAATCAATACAGGCGACTCTTGCCATTCGCAGGGGATACATTCTCGTATCCCCCTCAAATGGCAAAATCTGCGAATAAGGCATTGCATTCATGAACACAGTGGGTGTTTATGAACACAGTGCCTCCGGCAGCTGAGGGGAGCAGGCATGGCTCTGGCAGCAATGGCTCAGTGCAGGAACCTGGCGATGATGGTGGGAGCCTGGCGGTAGTGTTTAAAGTGTATTTAAAATGCAGGTTCGGCATTTGTGAATATTTGAAACCGCAAATGCCAAACCTGCAAATAACAAAGGTTTCCTGTATTTCTCTGCAAATTTTACTTTTTCTCTGTGGAATTTTCACAGAAATTGTATTTTCCATTGGAATATTATTAATATATTAATATTATATATTATATTTCTGGCAACCATTGTGATATGTAGTATGTTTTGACAAATTTTATTTTCAGTGTTGTAGCACTCAGGGATTTGTTCTAGCTCACTTGGGTATTTCAGACATTAGATTGTAGCACTACTGTATAAAGCACAAGCAGAAAAAGATAAATTATTTGTAAGAAGGCATCATACTATGTCCATATATAGCAGCCTAAATACACTGATTTAAAGAATACATTTCCTCTTGCTGATAGCTACAGAAATGCAATAGGGAATCAAGGTCAGAATCATGGTGGCATCCAGTCTGCATTGCCACTGAAGCTCTTGGCAAACAATTGTAATTCCTTATGTTTCTCAGAACTGATAATAGCCCTATTTTAAATGCTCTGAATATGAGTGCATTGGAGAGTATATCTCCTTGAACCCTTCCCCATCCCTCCATAGTTTGTGTGTTTAAGAGGGCCTGTTGCTTTAATGGAGGTTATTGGGGTTTTTTGCTGTTATTGGTTAAAATAACTTGTTTCAAAATCATTCGAGTAGGGTTTACAGTTCATTTCCACCATGATCTTGAGAAAAATAACAGTTTAAGTTTGTTTTGCAGGTTGGGATCTGTGGCCGCACAGGGAGTGGAAAATCATCATTGTCTTTGGCTTTCTTCAGAATGGTGGACATCTTTGATGGTTAGTTGCTATGGATCCCTCACTGGGGCTTGCTGTTACTCCCCAACGGCTACCATTATATCCTCCCTCCATTTCTTTGGAAAAAGCAAGCAAACCCTCGTATACACTTTCAGGACACTTAGTTTGAATTAGGCTTATTCTGCCCAATACTTCACGTGCCAAGAGCCTCTTGGGAGTGTCTACAGGAGATGTTTGCTGTACAGTTGACTAACTCACTGTCTACATGTGTATCCCTATTACAGCACATGAAAGTAATAAACTCTGCAGCAGGGTAGGACTTGTAAATGCAAGTACTATGCTGCTGCAGAGTCTTTTGTGCACAGTAGCGTGTATGTAGATGCTGAGCTGGTTGGCTGGGGCATGAGGGTGCTTCAGTGCAGGGATTGCCTGCCAGATGGCAGGCTGACCCCTGGGGGCCCGAGTGAATATGCTGTGGTCCAGGTGCACATGTAAACTACAGTCCCAGGAGCAATGAACTGTAGAGCAATAAGTGCCACAGTTTATTGCTGCACGTTAGTGGCAAATGTAGATGTGCCCCTTAAGAGCTATTAGAGAAGGTCTCTACTTATTGTAGAATCTAGTGTAAGACCCTTTATAATCTGACAGAATAATGTCCTGTTTCTAAATGGAAAGAAAAAATATCTAACTGTGGTCTCTCCCTATAAATGTATCCCTACTGAATAACTACATTAAAAGAAAGAAGCTGAGTTCTGGGAAAATAGAAACTGGTATGCAGTAAAGGTGCTCCCTTGACTTCTTAAAAAAAAAATTATTGCCATTTTCCAGTTACAGCAGAAGCCCAGGATGATTTTGCAATATTCTTATTTCTATGGCATATCATCCTCCCACGTATCATATGGAATATGTATGGAACGTCAGCCAGCACAATCCAGTAAGATGTAGGAGGATAAGTACATCAGCTGGAATTAATTTAAGTCAGTCATCTTGGTCTGTGTCTGCATAGCACCTCAAACATTGGAGTCCTGGGCCTTGACTGAGGTTCCTAGGTGCTACAGATACAAATAATAAACATTAACTGTTTTATGCCTATCCTTTTCTATTTCATCTACCCTTTACTTCCTTTACGCCTCTCACTTGATTGTCTCAGTCTTCTATTTCTACTCTTCCTATATCTCTGAATTGTTACCTTAGAAAGGCATTCCATTTCCTCTCAGGTTTTCTTGACTTTCATCTTCTCTCTCTACTGTCTGTTGTCCATGTCTCCCCCTTCTTTCAATGTTAGACAGTATCTAGCTCCACTGCCCCCATCTTTTCTCTGGGTCTATATGAAATCTTAGAGCTGCTAAAGTCTTTGGTAAGTGACACCTGACTTCAGCAGAGCTAGGATTTCACCCACTCTGTCCATCTCATTCCTCCATTCTCTTGTATCTGTTACATTTCATACTTACTTATATTCTGTGGTATCACCCCTTGCAGCATCTCACATGTTCTTGTTCCTTTTAAGGAGCTGATCTCTCTTACACCCCATGCCCCAGGCCTCTCTGTCCTCTCTGCATCCTGCCATTTCACCCCCTTATTTCTGTCCCTGTTTCCTCTATTTCCTTTCCACTCTGCCTATCCCACCCAGGCATTCTTATTTCCAATTTTTCCTCCAATCAACCTGTTTTCCCTTACACATTGCATCTTCTTGCTCACTAGCACACCATCTTTCTTCCCCCACCTCCTCTTTCCCAGGCTTCTACCCTCATATATGAGAAAAAGGTGATGGTCAAGTTGCTATTGTTGATGGATGGTAACTGATGGATGGACTGACCCTCTGAAAGCATTTTTAAAAAGTCAGACTTCGGTGAGGGTGAAATTCTGAACCTAGAGAGCTTCAAGCATGTTGGTCAACCCATGGGAGTCAAACTCTGCATGTGCCCAAGTGTTTCACTAGATTGAGGCTGGGATATTCAACACCATGCAGTATACAACTCTGTGGGTTTTACAAATAACATAGTGATGAAACTGGATGTTACAGAAACAGCAGCTCTCAGTAGCTTTGAATTTCTTTATATTTATCATTTCCTGGGTTAGGGCTGGTCCTTTCTGTTTTTAGGACATAAGGCAAACAGACTCAGAATATTAATATCTGCTTATTTCCATGTTGGGTGCAGTACAGAGCACAACAGGTACTCCAACAGAAACTGCTCATCACAGACAGTCTTTCTTGGGGATCACCGGGGCAAATATAAATGGAACCCAGTGTCTGCACCTGTTGATATAGCTGGCCCTGTTCCCTCCCTAGGAGCTATGAGAAGTTCTTGTGTGCTGGGAAATTGAAGGGTTGCAATTGCAGCCAGATGTTTTGCAGAGGTTTGCAGAGGTTTAAGGAGTGTGACCTTTTTATGTCCTTCCTGTCTGTTCCTATTTACAAAACAGCCAATCCCAGTCTAGCCTGCAGATTTTTTTCCCCCTGAATGCCAAAGGTTGCCACATCTGACATGCCATAGATTTGATTGTCAGGTCAAATCTATAAAGTTTATTGACCTGATGGGCTAATGGAATTTCTGTACATTAGTGACCACCACAGCTATTGCATGTAGCTTCCTTTATTGAAATGCCATGCCAGGAAGGCATGTGTTTCCATTGCTTTTTTTGGTCAGCTGAACCTAAGTATAATTCATAATTTATACTTAGGTGACACCTATATATGGAATCTGGAAAAATGATTTTAACATGACTGAGTTTGGGTGCATTTTTAAATTCACTGAGTCGTCTCTTATATTTGGATCACTGAGCCATCTCTTATCTTTGGAAAAGTGTTTCTAGCTTTCTAAGGACAGCAAGGCCTCTATTCATGTTTCATACTATGATTGCTTGAGTGTTGTACACAAAATAAGCTAGCACAAATTTGAAATAAAAGATCCCAATCTGATCCTCACTAAAATCAACAGGAACAGAAGATGGCCCAGGAGCAATTATCTCAACTGCTGTTGTCCTCTCTTCCTCTGCTTGGCTGCAGAGCACAGGATGCTCCATAATTAATTATCCTTGGCATCATTAATCATGTAGCATGAAACCAAAATATTTCCTTTAAGGGACTTAAAAAAAGGAGAGAGATGATAGTGTCTGTCATCAATAAGCAGAATTTCCCTTGGGTTGTTTTATTTTACGCAATATTTATTTCATATCTTTATTGTATATGATACTTAGATGATATTTATTGTATACCTTCCACGTGTTTATGTCACAGCTGAGTGGATGCAAAGTCATTCTCAGAGTTTGGAGGCTAGCCCAAATCCAAACAATCTTCTGCTTGTGATTAATTTTGGTGTTGTCTGCTTAGAAATAGCACAATACTTGCAAGCTTATAAAATATATATTATTCCAACAGGGAGGATTGTGATTGATGGAATAGACATTAGTAAATTACCCCTGCACACCCTCCGCTCCCGACTGTCAATTATTCTCCAAGATCCTGTGCTGTTCAGTGGTTCCATTCGGTGCGTATTACTTTTTGCTGTGTGAATTGTAAAGTTGTATGGGTTCTGCATCAGAGATGGTACCACAGAAGCCATCCAGGAGATGGGGATGAAGGGAATGGGAGAAGACCTTCTATACCTACTTCTGGCTGTGCAAAATCTGTGAGTAACATACAGCTGTAGCACTGCCTTGGACTAGACCAGGGTGTTTGGTCTTGAAATCTGCTCACTAAGCCTTTTATTCTTTCCCTGGCACTGGCAGCTTTAATTTGGATCCAGAGTGCAAGTGCACTGACGATAGACTTTGGGAAGCTCTGGAGATTGCTCAGCTGAAGAACTTGGTGAAGTCATTGCCAGGCGGCCTAGGTATGAGTGAACCGAGTGCTCATGAATTCATGCCAGTGCATAAAAAAACCAACATATATATGCAAAGAACGTTTTGATTTTTGAATGTCTTGTTGTAGGCTTAGGAGAGTATGATATATAGCCTGACTTTGAGTCACTCTGTAAGGGGGTGGCAAGTGCTTGATGAATATTCCAAAAGTATACCGATATACCTCTCAAACTGCTGACTGATGGTTTAGTTTTGCACTGATTTCAATTAAATGTTAGTACAGTACATCAGCAGGTGGGCCTGGGGGGACTAGTAGTCAGATGGTTAAAAGCTGTTTTACAATTCTGTTTCAACAGTAAAATCTATGATTGCCACATGAAGGCCCAACAGCTGTGTCTCCTAATTATGTCACTGATCAAGCATTTTCCTTTTTATTTCAGGTTTGGTTCATGAAGGAAAGCCACTTATATATGTTACACATTATTAAATATGATATGCTTTCCCAAGTTTGTTAAGTCCTCAGTCCATGATTGTGTGAGATAATATATTGCCCTGAAGTCTGTGGTCCCAGCAGCTGTGCTCAGTCTTCTCAATATCACTGCAGTCCAGTGCTCAGCACAGATCAGCTTATAACATATTGCAGGAATATCATTTGATGTCTCAACAGTTCTTGAGCACAGGTTTTCTGGCTTATACTGCAAATCACTTGGGGCACTGATTTTGTATTTCATGAGTATACTTAGTTGAATAACATCTTTAGGCAACAGCATTTCAATAACTTAAAACCCTGAACCTAACTCTGTTATAGATGCAATGGTAACAGAAGGAGGAGAGAATTTCAGTGTGGGTCAAAGACAGCTCTTCTGTTTGGCCAGAGCCTTTGTTCGTAAGAGCAGCATCCTCATCATGGATGAAGCCACAGCTTCTATTGACATGGCCACAGTGAGTATGCCAGCTGTACTGCTACTAGTGCCAGTTGATATGTCTTATGAGAGGCAAGAAGGCACTTTGAGCTGAAAACTCACACCTTTGGTACAGTCTTGGTATCTATCTTGTAGCTATTTTTTGGTTATGTTAATTTTCATTTTGATATCTGTGGTGTGGGGAGAAATGTAAAAAAATAGGCCTGGTATTGAGGGTCCTACTACATGACATAATTGAGGGTCTGTACTACAGTGTGTCCTTGCAGAGATGCTCGTGAGTATGCCTCATCCAACTGTTCCTTCCCCCACATGCCACACCTAGAAAGGTATTGATGAGGTTACTTGCTCCAGGACAGCCCCCCAGTGATTGATCTCAGTCTCTGGAGTGCTTCAGTGCAGCTGCCAGAGACACGCTACATAAGCCTTACTGACACATCATATTTTCTCGCATATAACATGCCCCAAATATTATACATAACCTGGTTTTGACAGATGACTTGAAGAAAAAATATTTGTACCTTGCAGCACAGGTAAGTACCTGATCCAGTGCACTGAGTTTGGGGTCATGTGCCCAGTCTGGCCTCAGCCTGACCCAGTGTACCAGCCCAGTCTAGTGCGCAGGGCCATGTCATTCAGGGGTCTGGAGATTTGGCAGCAGAGGAGAAGTGACACGATTAGTTGCTGTGCATTGTCAACATTCCACCACTGCCAAATCTCCAGACTCCTGGGGAATCTATATTTCTTGCAAATAATGCACACTCCAATTTCTCCCAGCTGGTTTTGGGGAAGGTGTGTGTTTTATATAAGAAGATATGGTATTTCTAAATTTGGAATGCATAGCAGGAGTAGGTGGGTGGGACACACTTATGAGTATCCTGGTTGGGACAAGCTGCCATTACAATATAGACATATCCAGGCACATAGAAGGCACCGAACTATGTGGTCGTGAGTCCTTGACAATGAAAAAGACACACACTGTAAAGAGATGTAAAGCCCTGAATAACTTTTGGGCCTTTTTCTTTCACAGGAAAACATATTGCAGAAGGTTGTGATGACTGCCTTTGCAGACCGCACAGTAGTAACGATAGCTGTAAGTATGACCTACAGAAGAAGTTTCTTTTCCTCATTCTTCACGTAGTAAGACTTGCTGTTCACCAGTTAATTGCTGTTTAGAAAACAGACTGAAACTAGAATTCAGCCCACAACACCTCTGAACTTTAAAGAGGTACAAAGCACAAACCTAGATCTGGCAAATTTAGCAAATACCATATTTACTAAAATACAAAACAAAGGCTTTTTCCCTCAAGTCAGCATTTTGAGGGGGGCAGAAGACCCTCATAATCTCATACAAGGAAACCTTACTAAATGCACTTTCATTAAACTGCTGGCAAAGTAATAGAACCCAACTCTGAAGCTGATTAAATGGAAAGTCTGAGCATCACTGTAAACCACATGGCCCATATGGGTTAACATACTGATGGGAACCATTTTTGGGTTTATTTTTATGTGTGGCCCTTAAAAAAAATGGGCAGTTGCTCCCCCAGGAAGGAACAAGCACTAAGCCCATAGGTACTGTAGTACCAGGCTGGCACTGAGGTTGGCGCTCAGAGAGGATGACCACCAGTGCCAAAAATGCTGATGGGAATCTTTTGTGGGGAGGGGCCTTAAAAAAAATGGGCAAGTGTTCTTTCCACAGGGAACTGACACCAGCCTGGAGGTACTGGAATACCAGGCCAGCACCAGAAGGGCCAGGGCCAATCCTGACACCTTCCCCTTGATGCCAAACATTGACTTTTATTAGTAGATG